CGCGGTGTTAGATGGCGACGGCGGCGCCTCGGCCCCCGAAGCCCGGCCGCACCCGGGCCGGAGCTCGCCTCATACTCTCCTTCTCAGACTACCCAGAACATCCAGAGACTAGCAACAGTCTCCTCCCTCGGCACCCCCTCCAACGGGAGGAGGCGGAGGCGGAGGCGGAGGCGGAGGCGTCGCGGCTCCTCCCTCTCCTTGTCCCGGACTCCCGCCCCTCCAAGCCTTTCTCGCGAGATGACGACCACCCCGGGGACTGAGGCCGCTGCGCGCAGCCACTGCCCTCACCATGGAGAAGTGGATTCAGGCCACTCTAGCCAAGTCCTCGATTCTCTATGGATAAAACAGCAATAGAGAAAGAAGACGCTGAATTCCGTAGATTCTCGCTCACGAGCCTCACTGCACAGGGAACAAGAGATGTGTGCGTCATCTTTAGTTGGGGCACGGAAGGCCCGAAGAGCCCATTTTAACTTCGGGCCTCCTCAGCCAAAGTGAAGGGGCAGCGGAGCTGGCGCAGCTTCACTTTCCCTTCTTCAACATGGCCCCAAGGGCAAGACGGAGAGGAGGCGGTTCCCCGCGTGACCCCGCCCGCGCCTGGGGCGGCCAATCACGGCGGGCTGGCCCGCCTGCGCGTGCGCACCGCCGGCATGGTGTGGGCGGAGTTGGTGCGGGCCCTCTCTTCGGCACCTGCTGCCATCACTCCACCTCCTTTTCCCCGCGCCGCAGGCTGGAGGCGGGCCGGGGCGGGACCATGCGGAGCCTCCGCCCCCTCAACCTCCGCCGGGCGCGGGCTGCGGAGTCGTAGTTCACAGGGGGCAGGCGGAGCCGCTGGAAGGGCACCCCGGCCGGAAGGCGGACCGAGACGCCGAGACAAGGGAGAGTGACTCGCTGCCCTTCGTTGTCAGCCAGGGACGAGGACACCGCCACGCTCCCGCCCGGCAGCCCAATTTCACTCGGCGGCAGAAATGTCGGCCGCCGGCGTTCGAGGCCTGCGGGCCACCTACCACCGGGTGCTCGATAAGGTGGAGCTGATGCTGCCCGAGAAATTGAGGCCGTTTTACAACCACCCGGCAGGTAATGGACCCAGATCGGCTCCCGCCCACAGCGTCCCTCCCTCTCCCCCTAAAATGAACCTTCTCGAGCTGACAACTCGGCCGCTAGAGGCATCCGCAACCCCTACACCTTCCCCTCGAGTGAATCCTTCCACTCTCGGAGCCTCTCCGCATTTCTCCCGTGCAACATCTGTCATAAACCGGGGGATCTCAGGTCGGCGCTCTTCCTGACCTGTGTTGCATCCGCTCCCTTACGCACGACTCAAATCTGGACCCGGCCTCCAGATTGGGTCCTTGTCAACTTCGGCCACGAAAGGATCTGGGGCCGCCACGAAACCCTCGTTCTCCCGTGTCTCTCCACGTAATGTAGCGTGTCAACGGGGCATATCAACCCACGCGAGGCAGAGCTGGGTGGGTGGCTTGTCGCACTGGAGGGTTTGGAGTAAAGGTCACACTTCCTTCAGCTCTTGCTGGCAGAGGCCTGCAGATTGAGCCCTCCCCCAAACTGGACGCTTTACCTAGGTTTCAGAGTCATTGTCATTCCTCGTCCCTTAGGGGCAGTTTGTTTCCCCACGTCTGTCCTTGTTTATGAAATTACAGAGCTAGCGCTACCCGGACCTTTTGGTGTGGACTGATCTGCTCCACCACTTAATGTAGTGTGACCTTGAGCAGAATCGTAGATCAGTTTCCATAAACTGGTCTTTGTGAGAATTAAGCGATAACGTGTGCTTGAGTTTTTGTAAATACTCAGGAAATGTTAGCTCTCTCTGGTCTTACTGGAAAACAGTGTACTTGCGGTTGAAAAAGATAATTCTGTAGGAAACTGGAAGATCTTAATCCCCCCAACCCTTTATTAAAGACCTAGAATTCTGTTACCTCTTCGATAAAATGGGAAGTAATACTTATTTGGCTAGAGACTAAAAGTAGATATATTCTGAGGTCTCTTTCAAGCCTATGACTTAACAAATGAGAAAATGTATCATAAATTGAAAGATTGAAGTGCTTCCCAGAAAGTGGCCTTTTCCCCCTACATAGTTAAATCTGTATTCTGAAGTTGATGCCATTAGTAAGATTGTCTGATTCTCCCCATTATCTGACTGGGAAGCGGCTCTCTGGAGTTTGAGCTGGTTACTAAATCTGATTTCCAGTTTGATAATGGAATGAACTGAACCTCTGGATTATACTTTAGTTTAATCCTTAATGTTATTTGTTCCAATATGGTATCTATTATAAAACTGATCTTTAAAGAGAAGTTCTTATTGATAAAGAATTTCGGTTTATTTGCCTTGTAGTTCTTTTAACGCTCTTTTTTTAAAAATGTGCTGTTTTGTAGCAAAGATTTTGAGGAGGGAAGGTTGGGCTATGCTTCTGTAATGATTACAGAGTCAACTGAATTTTGTGTAGTCAACTCTGCCCCTCTTAAGCTTTGTGTTTGGGCTGTAGAGTAAAGGAAGGGTAGAGCAATTTTAAATGCCTTTTAAAGGTATTCTTATGTTGATCTTTTCCAAGGCCTTGGCTTTTAGCCATCTGTAGTTATTGTTTATAATACTTAACTTTCAGAATGAAGAGGTGTTACCTTTCACTAGAATGTACATTTCATCTGAATGTCCTTGGATTCGTTCAGTTATTTTAACCCCTTTCTCAGTGTAGTAGGAGTATAGATTTTGAAGCCAGACAGACCTAGGTTTAAACCTTGCCCGTGCGACCTTGACCTTAAATTCCCAAGCCTTATTTTCTAATCTGTACAATTGGGATGATAATTATCACCATTCAGGACTGTTGCGAAAATTAAATGATATAATATCTGTGAAACATGCAGCACAATGTTTGCACTTAAACTCTCAACAAGTGTTAATTCTCTCCCATCAAAGCTTTTGAACAATATGCAGAGTGAGCATACCTGTCACTGCAAAATTATTTATGATTGAAAAGTTGGAGGCACACCAATGTAGAAATTAAGAAGCATGAAAAATATAACTGTTGACTCATTAGTATTGAATAAAGTATGAGGAAACACTGGCTGCTTTAAACACTGGCTACTTTAAGGTCTGAATAAGAAGAATATTTGCATTTTTCCTAGATAAGAGAATTTTTTTTTTTAATATCTTCTAAGACCTAGCGTATTTTCTTTTTAAATAAAAACATACTAAATGAACCGATGTTAGCAGTGTTTAGAAGGGATTGTCTTGTTCTAAGCGTTTTCCAGAGTGAATATTCAAGGGTTTTGCATACTATTTTACATAATAGTATTTGTTATGAATTACTGTTTAAACAGTCTAGAATCACATACAAGGAATTTTTTTAAATAATGTGCAAGCCGGGCTCGGTGGCTCAGCCTGTAATCCCGCGCCTTTGGGAGGCTGAGGTGAGTGGATTGCCTGAGCCCGCGGGTTCGAGACCCGCCTGGGCAGCGAGACCTCATCTCTACAATAAATCAAAAAATCAGCCGGGCGTGGTAGCGCATGCCTGTAATTCCGGCTACTCGGAAAGCTGAGGTGGAAGGATCGCCGGAGCCCAGCAGGTCGAGGCTGCGGTGGCCGGGAGCGGCCCCTGCACTCCAGTGTGGGCGACCGAGTGAGACTCCAACTCAAAAAAATAAATAAATAAATAATGTGCAAGGCTAGAATATTAACAGTTGAAAATCACACATTGCTGATTCTAAATTTTTGAGGTTTATCACTGACAAATATTTCTAGATAGGTAACAAAAATATGTTTATATGTGTGTGTGTGTGTGTATATATATATATATATAGTTAGAGTGTTTCACCTCTAACTTGTGGCCCAGAATTTTGTCCCCTTCATCATTCATTTGCTATGTGTTGTTCCTGGCACATTATGATCTGTCATTGTAGGGGAGGAATAGAGTTCTAGACAAATGCATGTTCTATCAAGTTTGTGAGCTCACATAAAGGGTTGTCACTCCCCTTATCCTCCACGTCCTGTCTGTTAAAGTATATGACTCCACAGTAACCATCTGCTTAGCTGTACTCTAGGTATTTGTTAGAAAACAACCTTGACATTATGTTGTCCATTGTTTTCTTAAAGGTTTAGTTGAGAAAAAAATTATTAATGGTGGAGTGTTATTTCTTTGTATTTATGAACTCCAAAATGATGTGAATGCACAAAATGCAACACTGGAATATAGGAAGAAAATAAGAGAACTTCTATTAATGCTTTCTGCTATTTCATCATTTACATTTTTCATTGCACACATGTTTTATCATATAAAAATATATTAGTACAGTAATTATAAAGAGTTTATAGACATATAAACTAGAGAGAGAGAGGATGTGTGCTCAGATAGTTTTTTTTACTGATGGGGCATAAGTTCAAAAGAAATTGGGAAGACCACAGCTCTGAAGAGTCTTAAAAACTATCCTTTGGTGAAGCTAACCCAGAAAACAGCTATCTGAACCATATCATTTTAGCTCATGGTAACTTTGCTTTTACTGAATTACATTTTGACTGAAGCAGAAGAGCTTTTGAAAAATACAGTGGAAAAATACAGTGGTTCTGTGAAACTTGTTTGAGTGTTTAGTGTGCTGCTCCTGAGAATGTCATTCTTTAGATTAATGGGTTCTTTCTGTGAACACTCAGGGGAGAAATTACTTAAAGATTTGAATAAGAAGATTATTTACATTTTTCCTAGATAAGAAAATTGTTTTTCTTTTTTATTAAAAACAATCTTTTAAGACCTAGAGCATTTTCTTTTTAAATAAAAGTATACTAAATGAACCAATGTTAGCAGTATTTAGAAGAGAATACCTTTATCATAAAAATTTTTGATTAAATATTAAGGGATTTGATGTTATACTAGAAGGCTAAAGACAACTTAGTTCAAAATATACTGTTTTATTATATGTAAATACAGTCATGTGGATCAAATAATTAGTGTACATACTCACATAGTTTAGCATCTCTATTAAAACAACTTATTTTCTTGCTGCAGAGATTGTCAGTGAAGAATCTGAATGCCAGCCTAAGGTAGTTAATGTATATATGAATGCATATATTTGTAAGTATATATTTAACATGTTTAATTATTTACACTAAATGTGAGTATGTATTTTTTTAAAATAATAACCTTTATTACCTTAAAATGAAGGGATGAGAACTAAAATAGGTGGAAAGTTGGAATTTCAACTACAACTGTAAGATATTGGTCCAAAATAGAATATCTTTAAGCAATCAGCACCAAGAAAGTTGAATTAGTCGATATTTATTAAGGGCTTACTCTGTATTAGGTACTGTTCTGCCGCTTGGGATATATTAATGAATAAAATAAAAATCCCTGCCCACACAGAGTTTGTAATCTCAAAAGAGATCATAAAAGAAATACCATTCATGCAGTAGTTGTTAGTTCAACACATAACATAATTTTTGTCCATTAACTTGATTTTAAGAAATTAGTACTACTGATGCCTCACCTAATTTGATTCATCAGATGTTGCAAAGGTGAAGAAAGCCCTAAGAAAAGCTATAAATAATTTATTATTTTTAGATCAGATAAAAATATTAATTTTACTTAAAACAGTATGAAATATGTTTCAGGCATAGTATGATATAGTAGAAAAAGGACTAGGATCAAAGTGTTCTGGTCCTTGCTCTATCCAGAACTACCTGAGTGTAAAACAAATTACTTAACTTCTTAAGTGCCTCTTCTTAGACTTTTCCTAAGGTTCTTCCCAGCTGTAATAATCTACAATTTGACTGAGCACTTTGGGAGGCCGAGGCCAGTAGATTGCCTGAGCCTGCGGGTTCAAGACTAGCCCGGGCAACTTGGCAAGACCGCGTCTCTGCTATTTAAAAAAATAGCCGGGTGTTGTAGCGCACGCCTGTAGGTCTGGCTGCTTGGAAAGCTGAGGCGAGCAGACTGCTGGGGCCCAGCAGGTTGACGCTGGGGTGGCAGTGAGTGTGCCAGCACTCCAGCCTGGGTGGCAGAGAGAGACTCCAACTCAAAGTAATAATAATAATCTACAATTTGGTATTCTTCTAGGACTTCTACTTTCAAAGCCTTCGGGAAACTCAGATTTCATTAATAAAGATAATATAATTATTCTTAGATTAGGATTTAGGGATCTAGTTTTTTATCCTTGCTGTGCCACCTATGTATCCTAAACAATAATTCTACCTCTCAGGGCCTCATTTACCTGATTTCTAAGACGAGTGCCTACAGCAAATGATTTCAACAATCTTTGTATATTTACAAGTCATTGGTTCATTGTAACTGAAGACATTTGTAAATTTAAAGTGCATCACCCCTAAGATGCATCTTAGCTATTTTAGTTCATCCCTTCACTCGGTTTTTACTTTGGAATTTCAAACCAAGGCATGTTTTCAGTCAACATTTTTAAAAACATTATATACCCATAATGCTTTGGGTACTATTTTAGTAATAGCTGTTTTCAAGGCATTGTGGAAAATGTATAGATTATTTGGCTCTAAAATGATAAATCAGTCATGTCCTTAGTGTTAAATAAAAACTAGCTTTAGCACAAATGAAAATGAATGATCTGGGGCAGTTCATATGTGTCAAAGACTAACGTTTCCAAATTCTAAGAATTTGTATGTAGTTTGGCACATGAGAGCAAACAGGTGGACTTTCCGAACTGAGAGGGATGTCAAAACCCATAGAGTGGTATGAACAGGATGGGAAGAGGCAGGGAAAGGTAGTGACTTTTATGACCTCAAAGCATTCAGTAAGAAATTTTATTTTTCACATTGGGTTGTAATGAATCCTCCAGTTCAGCATTTGTAAGTGCATCTGTGTGCATGTGTAAAAATAACCTATTCTGTTTCAAAAAGTAAGTCTTTCCTTAGGAAGAGACTCATATATATGTAATAAATGAGCGATTTTTTGATAGAATTCATATAATGTTTTACTAATAGTAATTCCTCTCAGATAAGGAAATTAGGAAGCACATTTGTGTCATTTTTATCAATAGGTTCATCAAAGTTTACCAAGGTAAACTAAATTAGTTAATTTGAAATTTTACGTGTTACTATTTAGTTATTATATCCACTTGTAGAATTTCTCACATTCTATGAAAAGTTTGAATTTTTAAAATATCAGTTTTACTTTAAAAATAAGACAATAAAACACAAAAGAAAATAGCTTATTCTCTGTATTTTATGTTATTCTCAGAACAGTTCATAGTTTTAAATATATGTACATTTAAAATACTTGTTTGATGCTTTTAAATTACCAGCATTTGAGACCTTTTCAACTTCTTAGAAATAGCAGATTTCTAAGAAACAAGATGAAAATGTGTTGTTACTTAATTCTTTGTCTAAAAGAATGTGTATTATATCTGATGGCGACAAATTTTCTTCATCTTGGACTATATATTAAATGTCTTATGAGGTTGTTTTTATTCAATACATTTTAATCAGTTCAAATCTTCTACCTAATAATTTATCATAATGAATGTTAGCCAAGTACTCTAGTTTATACTTGATCTTATTCTAACATTAAGGTATTATAATCACTTCAGGTATTATTATAATTAATTATCTCATTTATTTTTATGTTCTCCCATGAGAATAGCTGTATCATTGTACAGAACATAAACCTGTTTTTTCCAGGTCTGTGTGATACATGTAACATTGTGTTGTCAATTTTTGAGTGAGTCCTATTTTTAATGCTTTGTTTTGTCAAAACTTTGTGTTTAGAAATGTGGAAGTAAGTTGGAATGTATCTCACTACCATATCCACTGTTGGTTGTTGTTTTCTGGAAAACAACCTCTATATCTAAATTTATATATTTCTAAATTTACTTGTCTAAATGTATTTGATGTATTATTTACTCTTATGGTAAAAAAATAATTAAGAAATGTATTTGAATGCTAAAATAAAAGGGTAAACCAAGTTATCTCTAAAATTTTTATTAACTCATTGTGTGACCTCGGTTATTGCTAACCATTTTTTTATTTAACAATTAAGAAAACATTACTTGTATGCATTCATAGATGTTAAACTCTGATTTTTTTGTGTCACTTAGCATCTTCTGATAGCTCAGAAAAATTAACTCGAAGACATATATTTGCTACTGATTCTTTTTGTTGTTTAGTATATTGCAGTTGTTAACTCATTTAGGTTTATTTTTCTAGTTTAAAATTATTCACTAACTAAAAAAACTCTCTTGGTCCAGATTTTAGCTACCATAATTTCATGTTTGAAGTTTTTTTGGTTCTTGTTTGGTTTGGTGGGTTGTAGGGGGAGCACAGTTAATATTGTAACACTATCGCCTAGCTCCAGGCAGTTTAGTAAATGAGTTACCAGGCGAACATTCTGAAAAGTTTGACTGTAACCCTGAAGGATCAACCACGTAAGCTTATAAAGCAACAAGGATCTAGAGGCATTACTCAGGAAAGTTTTATAGTGGCAGATAAAGAAACATCAGTTTTGCAGTAGGAGGAGAAAAGTCTGCTGAAGAGTTCAAAGTAAAGATGAACATCCATTCAACTAGTGACTCCAAGCTTCATGCAGGGGTAAAAAAATAACCTTAGTAATTGATACTGCATATGATCCAGAAGCCTTGTGCATGACAAAGAAAAATGAATCAGGTGTGCCGATAGGAATCCCAGAAACTCAACCTAAATTTCCATAGAGTTTGAAAAGATTGACAATAGGATCCGTGCATTATGGCATCAGACTCGGGGGAAGAGTGCCATGGTCTAAGAGTAGAGTAACTAATAGGTGAAATCTTCACAACCCTACTGTAAAGGGAACCTCATGTCTCTAGGGTTGAGTAAAGAGCAAATTCCAGCCTTGAGGTGAAGCAGTTTCGAGGCAAATCTGGGTCAAACCTAAACTTTTAATATCTTTGATTAGCATCTATCCTGGAAAAGGGTTGTCCAATTCAGTTCAGTTGGCAAATATTTATTATTTGTCAAGGAAAATTAAGAAATAGGCTTCATCTAGAGCTTATTGTCTGGTTAATATGACAGATTTATAAATAATCACTTTAGCAAGTGCAGAAAACAACAAAAGAATATACAGGCTGCTTTGGTAATTCAGAGAAGGACCATTTAGTCTCACTTGACGATGTTTAAAAAGACTTCCTTGAGGAGATGAAACTTAAGATGAGTTTTCGAAGGATAGGAGTTAGGCGAAAAGGCAGACTATTGAAAGGCGACAGCACAAGCTAAAATGTAAAGCATAAAACAGCATGAAACTAGTTTAATGATTCCTGGTTTACCAACCTACTTAGGCCAGGGTTTCTTAACCTTGCGCTATTGACATTTTTTGAACTGGGTGATTCTTTGCTGGAGACAGCTGTCCTGGGCGTTTAACAATGTTTAACAGCATCCCAGGCCTGCCCACAAGAAGGCGGCAGTATCACCACCGCCACCAAGGCCACTACCGCCACCACCACATCACAGTTGTGACAACTAAAAAATGTCTCCAGACATTACCAAATGTCCCCTGGGGGGGGCGGAAATCATGTCTGGTCTTATGAGAACTACTGACCTAGGCTAAAATTTAGTTAAATTAGGATTAGAAGTTTATATTCTGAAACTCCGTGCTTTCGTGTTTTCTTTTCTATTCCTCCTTTTTCCTTAGTCAAAACTTCTTTTGAAATTTCAATCTAATCCTAACCAAAGAAGAAAGAGAGTTGTCTTCATGTCTTGTTCAAAATAGAAAGAGATGTGGCTACAGTTCTGTGTGTAATAGTGACTGTGATCAGAACAATACAAAGTTTAGGGAACTGTACAGAAGATAAATACTGCAGTAACCCAGAAACTGAATATAGATAGGTTTTTCACTCGATTGTAAGAACTTCAAAATTTGGAACTCCTTGATAGTTTTAATTCTCCTAGCAACTGTTTCAGCACTGTCTCCAGATGTGTTACACAATTTAAAATACAGAAAATTCAAAGATGCACAGAAAAACATGAGCATGGCCAGATGTATGTGAGAAAATAAAGTTTAGCATGTAATTACTTGGTCCCACAAGGAAAGACAGGGTCTGTGCGCCATGATCCTATGGTGTTAAAATATTCTAAAGATGATATACAGTTCATTTGCACAATAAGAAAAGAAAATAAGATGTAGATTGCTGTAGCACTATTTAGGATTAAGTTAGAAAATCAGTAGACATTTAAAAACTATTAAAAGTATAAGCCAGACTTACTAATATTTAGGTATCAGGCTGATAAAAACAACTTATGATTTTCAAGTATTTTAAAAGTTATTTGCATATGTGTTTATACACACATATGTATTTATGTCATACAGACATACATATTTGCTTACAGATTAGGATAATACACTCTGCACTGTACTGGCTAACTTTCCTTTTTCTTTGACATTCTACATTCTTTTAGATAGAAGCATACAAGCATGCTCACTCTGATGTGATCAGCATTTTAAGGGGATACTTGAAATACTTGAACTTGCTGCAATAGCAGGAAATACAAAATTATTACAGTATTACAATGTATACTACAGCTAATTGTGTGCATTTATGATTTAATACTGCATCTTTATGTTTGTTCGCATTTCTCCCAACAGTGAATGGCACCATGTACGGTATGTAAGTATTTGTATGCATAAGTTTTGATAAACTTTAACTTCTTATAATAGATTAGTGTATATTTTATGGTAGTAAATGATAAAACAGCCTAGTATCTACATATATTTTCTGCATTCATGAGGTACCTAACTTTTTCTTAATTTTTTTTTATATTTCTAGGCCATGTGATTCTTCTGCAAGTTTTTTCAAATTGCTACAAATCTCCAAAATATCTTCCAGTACATTTATTGAAAAATATCTGCATATAATTGGACCCACACAGTTCAAAATTGTGTTGTGCAAGGGTCAGCTGTTCAGTGATAATGTGTGATAACTTATGCAGAAAGCATAGTAAAAGTGATTAGAAATAGATTGATAAATTGTTGGGTTTTTTAATTTGGTGATGACTCTTAAAAGACATGTATAAAATATTTGGTTTATTCCTGAAATTTTCTTTTATTTCTTTTTCAGGTCCCAAAACAATTTTTTTCTGGGCTCCAGTTATGAAATGGGTAAGTCTTGAGTTTTTGCAAAAGGTACTATCAGAAAAATTCCTTATTAGAAACTTTAATAATTTGAGGCAGGCACTATGGCTCACGCCTATAATCTCAACACTTTGGGAGGCGAAGGCAAAAGGATTGCCTGACCCCACGGGTTAAAGACCAGCCTGGGCAACATGGCGAGACCTCCTCTCTACAAAAAACAAATAAATAAAATTAGCCGGGCATGGGAGTGCATGCCTATAGTTCCAGCTACTAGGAAAGCTCAAGTGGAAGGATCACCTGAGCCCAACAGGTCAAGGCTGCGATGGCCGTGAGCACTCCAGCCTGGGTGACAGAGTGAGACTCCGACTCAAAAAATAATAATAATTTGAAGTAACTTTTATGAAGGATATACTTTAAAATATTCTTGATATGCCTCTAAATGATTCTGTGGCAGATGTTCTCAGATGTATCAGATGTAGTGAGCTTTATGTGCTACATAAAGGACACTACCTACTTTAGTTTTTCTGAACATTTTAGGTAAGAGGCCTTCTGGAAACGTATTTGTTACCCAAAAAACTTGCAATTGTAGACCCTAGGGACATGAAATTTCATTCTAAAATGTTATGACTAAGTACAACATTAAACTAGCTAAATATGTATTACTAATTTAGTATGAGAATCGAAGGTACTAACACTGAAAAAATATGTAGTTGAAGAACATCATTCTCAAAAAGTGATGGACTTATTTAAGTTTATATGTTAGCGTATGATAAATGTTAGATGCTGGGACATCTGACTGCAAGCCCAGTGATTTTACTCTTCTCCAGGATTTCCTTTCCTAAAGTTCTCATTGAGCAGAAAAGAAGTCATTGTGGTGGCTGTTTGTGGCAAATCATTGACTTTATGTTGAAAGGGCCAGCCAGTTTTGATCAATAGCTGTAATTCTCAAAGTTCATTCCTGGACCTGCAGCAGCAGCAGCTGAGAACTTTAGAAATGTAAGTCTTCAGGCCCCATAGCAGACCAACTAGATCTGAAACTCTTGGGGAGCCCAGTAAGTTGTGTTTTCATAACCTTTCTAGGTGATTCTGATGTCCGCTAAAGTTTGAAAACTGCTGGTTTTTTAATTGTGGTAAAATATTATAAAATTTTCCATCTTAACTATTTTTTAAGTAGCATTAAGTACAGTCACATTGTTGCCAACCAACCTCCACAACTCTTTTTATCTTGCAAAACTAAGACTCTGTGCCTGTTACATAATTCCCTATTCCTCTCCTCCCAGTTCCTGGCAACCATCATTCCATTCTTTTTATCTCTATGAATTTGAATACTGTAGGCACTCATATAACTGAAATTATACAGAATTTGTCTTTTTGTAATTGGCTTATTTCACCTCCCATAAGTCCACAAGGTACATCCATGCTGTCACGTGTGTTCGAATTTCCTTCGTTTTTTGTTTTTTGGGGTTTTTTTTGAGTTGGAGTCTCACTCTGTTGCCCAGACTGGAGTGCAGTGGCCACTCCCGGCCACCGCAGCCTCAACCTGCTGGGCTCCGGTGATCCTTCCACCTCAGCCTTCCAAGTAGCCGGAACTACAGGCACACGCTACCACGCCTGGCTAATTTTTGATCTATTGTAGAGATGAGGTCTCGCCAAGTTGCCCAGGTGGGTCTCGAACCCGCGGGCTCAGGCAATCCACTCACCTCAGTCTCCCAAAGGCGCAGTATTGCAGGCTGAGCCACCAAGCCTGGCTCATTTCCTTCGTTTTTAAGGCTGGATAACATTCCACTGTCTGTATGTACTACTTTTGTTTATCCATTAATTAGACTACTAAGTTGCTTTCACATTTTGGCTATTGTGAATAATCCTCCTATGAACATTGTTGTACAAATATCTGTGAGTTCCTACTTCTCTTGGGTATAGACCCAGAAGTAGAATTACTGGATCATATGGTAATACTGTTTAATATTTTGAAGAACTGCCATATTGTTTTTGCTGGTAACTGAATTTCCACCAGCAGTTCATAAAAGTTCTAGTTTTTCCACATCCTCACCAACACTTGATACTTTTGAGAGGAGAGTGTTTGTTTTTGTTATAATCATCCTAATGGGTGTTAGGTATCTTGTTGTGGTTTTGATTTGCATTTCATTTCTCTATTTATTGGTCATTTGCATGTCTTATTTGGAAAAATGTCTATTCAAGTTGTTCGTTTTGTTGTTGCAGAGTTGTACTATTTTAAGTTGTTAGAACAATTCAGGAATTCAGTTGTAAATTCAAGTAGTTGAGAATGTTAGAGCAGGAAGTAGCTATGCTTCAGTCTTATGGCCTTAGGCAAGTTTGGTCTCTGTGGCAATTTGTCTCCTCAACTCTAAAATGATAAGATTAGATGCAGGGTTTGGGAGCTGTATTTTACAGACCCTAGGTATCTGGTTGTTGTTTTTTTTTTCTATATTGATATGTTGAGAAAAGGTCCCAAAAGCCTTTATACTAATAAAAGGTACATTATTATTTCCTTCCTCTGCCTCCTACCTACACTTAAAATTATACAGTAATTATATATCTATAAATTGGAATTAATTGCTCAAGTATTGTTTCTAGCACCGTCATTTAAAAAGTTAGAGTGATTTCATCTATTTACAATAAATTAAGGGACCTCTTTGACCTCAAACTCAGTACAGTTTAGGAGTTTATTGATTTTATGAATAGCTCTGGTGTTTATTTGATCAAGTCCTTCAGTGTTTTCAAACACTGACAGTATTATATACTCATAAGTGCCTTCTTCACTATCTCTGTCTCCTTTAGAAATGTCTTTTTTTTTTTTGAGTTGGAGTCTCACTCTGTCACCCAGACTGGAGTACAGTGGTCGCTCCAGGCCACCACAGCCTCGACCTGCTGGGCTCCGGCGATCCTTCCGCCTCAGCCTTCCGAGTAGCCAGAATTACAGGCATGCGCTCCCACGCCCAGCTGATTTTTTTATTTATTGTAGAGATGAGGTCTCGCTGCCCAGGCGGGTCTCGAACCCGCGGGCTCAGGCAATCCACTCACCTCAGCCTCCCAAGGCACGGGATTACAGGCTGAGCCACCGAACCCAGCTAGAAATGTCTATTTTAAGTACATGTTGAAATCACTTAGTCTCCTGATGACAGCATAGCTGTAGAAACTTCTGTGTCTCCTTCTCTGATAGGGAGACTTCTTTTGTTAGATATTTATCGTAGTATATATTGATATATTTTCTTAACTCAGAGAATTTGATAATTAGTCTGCAGTAGTCTATACCTGACACATAAAGCTGCTTCTGCAAGCCACACATGTCCTACAACATCCTACTTCTTCAGACATTTAACTCTGGTAGTGTCCTTCTTAGCCACTTGAGTTGAAAACCAAATAATTAGTCATAATGGTCAAAGTGGATAGTCCTAAAAAGCAGTACCTTCATACCATAAATATTTTATTTTAACTTAGAGAATATAAACATATATTCATTTGACAGTCATCTTCTTTAAGGCTAAAGCTTTTATTTGTGTATAGATTCACTGATTTTGAGTTCCACATTTTCTGTCTTGACTAAATTACACCAGAGTGCATTCTGTGTAATTTCCAGTTTAGTTTGCTTTAAAGCAGACCAAATTCTCAGATCCTTTCAAACAGTATGGAAACAGAAACCTGTTTGATTTTTACATGTCTTGTTCATACCAATTTTGACAGCAGGTTTTGTCAACTTGCCTTTATTTAATCCTTCTAAAGCAGTCACTTTAGTTTTCATAGAGTAACAACCCTCTTTTTATATTTTACCTGCTTACCTAATAGTTTATTAAATAATATTAATTACACTAACAAGTAACTGACATAGTAGACAGATTCGGGGACAAATATAACGACTTGATAAAAATACTACTCATCTGGTGGGAGCAAAAATGCATGAGTGCCATAGAAAATAGCTCACTAGCAATAGGTATTCACTTGCCACAGCACTTGTGAGTGTGTTTACAGAAGGACCAGACATCATTGGCTGACCTGGGGAAACGATTACACGAAGGTCAGTAAAGAGAGCTTCTTTATTTTGTTCATAGCCCTCTTGCACAACCTTGTTATCAGTTACCTCTTAAACAATATACCATCTGGTGTAGTTAATTTTTCTCTTCTCTCTTCTCCTTAAAAATAAATCAAACTATTTCAGAGTTATCCATGTAGATTTTTAATACCTGTTTATCCAACTGGAACTACTTATACTGATTAATTTGCAGTTTAAAATTCAGAGGGCTTTGCTGCTATCTCTAAGCATTTTGGAACTGGAATAGTCTGTGGTGGTATTTCACTTTTTAACATTTCTTATCTGAAAGTGTCATATGACTTTTTTTAATAAACAAGAAAATATTGGAAAAAGGGAAGGGAGAAAGAGAAGAAAGAAAAACAATCTCATGAGTATTTTTCCCAACTCAATGAAGACAATCAAAAGCCTGAAAGAATGACAAACGTGTGCTTCAGGTATTTGAAAAACATTTTTTAATTGATGACAATGAAGGGAAGCAATTTGAGTATCTTAGATGCCAAATTGTATTAGCTTGTTTAACACATTATCTCACATTTATGCTTCATCCCCAAAAAATCTGGGAAATAAATATTATCATGAGCTTCCAGGTAAGGGCACTGAGGTTCGCAGAGCTAGATGACTGCACATGCTGTGACTACAAAGTGACAGAGTTCATTCTTGGGCCTTCAGGTCTATTTGTCTCTAAAGCCGATGCTCTTAAACACTTATATGGGCATCTTTAAAATAGGCACTCTGGATCTACCTATATTGGTACTTTCTTAGTATGTTAGGGAGCATTTTACATAATCTTGTGGTACACTCTAAGCATTTTCCTAATCTACAGTTCTATTATCTGAGTAAAGCTGAGAATAAAGGTGAAAAGGAACCCAGACATTCTGCTCCTCATCCTGAGACTAGGAATGCAGAGAAGAGTACAGAAATTCATATGCCTTGATCTTTGGTGCTCTAAAGGCGTTAGCAGCTACAATTTTTGTTGTTACTGATAATATTTTCAGGCACTGTGCTAAGTACTTGAAAGTATTTTCTCATTTTACTTAATGAGAAATTTAAGAGGTTGTTATGTAACTCAATCAAAGTCACATAACTAGTAAGTAGCAGAGATTAGATTAACAAGGAAATTTTGGAAGATAATTTACATGAAGTTAGAGTGATATAGAAGTAGAAAAAGATTTTTTAGAAACATGGGAAAAGGATCTCAAGACCTCTCTGGAATAGAACAATTACTAACATATCCCAGAAAAATTAAATGTCTACTGGGAGCATAGAAAATCATGCTAAATCATGGTAAAGTAATAGAAGTCAATCTCTTTCTTCCCCTAATCAATGGCAGTTTTCCACCCTGCAGAAGAAATAGAACAAATATGGAGCAGAGAGAATGTGCAATGGGACCTGGACGAAAGATGTAGAAGGGGTGATTAGGAAGGCATTTGGGGAAAAAAATCACAGGACTGTGGGTAAATGCTAATAAGAGGAAAGGTAGTACTGGCCATGATTTATCTCTAATTGTACCACTATATTTAACTACTTGCCCCTTTTAAAACTAGAATCATTGCTTTCTTGAACTACTAATTTTATTAATTCAAAACCATTTGGACTTGTTTTAAGTGTATATGTAAATTCATAAGAGTATGTGTGTGTTCTATTTAGAAGCAAAACCCTTGCTGTTTTACATATACAAGAGTATCTTTCAGAAATTCAGTAAAAAACCTGAAAATAATTTTTCAGAGACATATTCTTTGTTTAGTATTTGCTTTAACATACTTCAGAAGAGGAGAGAGAAGGAGAGGAAGCAAAGCAAGTATGGCAGCATCTCAGTAATTGCTGACTCTGGGTGATAGGAGTATAGGTGTTCTTTGTACTAGTCTCTTATTTTGTGTAGGCTTGAAGTTTTCATTAAGGAAAACTTTTATTACATATTCTGTAATAAAGTAGCATAGCTAATTTTCTAGTGAAGACTCAGTAAACTTTCTGAGTGATGTCGATGGTGGGGATAAGAGTGGAATGATTCTATGAAAGACAGTATTAAAAAACACAGCAGAGAATAAATGACCATGTGTCCTTTGATAGTAAAAAAAAAAAGTGATCTAACCAAAAATAAAATTATATGCCGGGCTCGGTGGCTCAGCCTGTAATCCCACGCTTTTGGGAGGCTGAGGTGAGTGGATTGCCTGAGCCCGCGGGTTCGAGACCCGCCTGGGCAGCGAGACCTCATCGCTACAATAAATCAAAAAAAAATCAGCTGGGCGTGGCAGCGCATGCCTGTAATTCCGCCACTTTTTTAAAAGTGGTGGCTGGGCATGGTTGCTCATACCTGTAATCCCAGCACTTTGGGAGACCGAGGCGGATCACTTGAGCCCATGAGTTCAAGACCAGCCTAGGCAACATAGTGAAACTTCATCTCTACAAAATATATATATTTTAAAAATTAGCTAGACATGGTGGCGTAGGCCTGTAGTTCCAGCTACTTGGAAGGCTGAGGCAGAAGGATCGCCGGAGCCCAGCAGGTCGAGGCTGCAGTGGCCGGGAGTGGCCACTGCACTCCAGTCTGGGTGACAGAGTGAGACTCCAACTCAAAAAAAAATAAATAAAAATTAAAAAAATTATAACAAAGTTTTTCTGATACTTCCACTCCTTTTTTTTTGAGTCAAGGTCTCACTGGAGTGCAGTGGCACAATCATGGCTTACCATAGCCTTGACCTCCTGGGCTCCAGTGGTCTTTCTGCCTCAGCCTCCCAAGTAGCTGGAACTACAGGCCTACGCCACCATGTCTAGCTAATTTTTTAAATATATATATTTTGTAGAGATGAAGTTTCACTATGTTGCCTAGGCTGGTCTTGAACTCGTGGGCTCAAGTGATCTGCCTCGGTCTCCCAAAGTGCTGGGATTACAGGTATGAGCAACCATGCCCAGCCACCACTTTTAAAAAAGAATAACATTAACATTAAACATGAAAAGAGGAATCTATACAAATGACCTTAAACAGCTTTCATATAGTTCATGTGTGAAATACATATCTGTAGACCAGAAAAACCAAAAATATATCTGTATATATAAAACATATGTAGTGTGTGTGTGTTTTCTCAACACTTATGATGCCCTTCTCTTTCTATGTGTTGATGTGTGTTTGCAGGGCTTGGTGTGTGCTGGATTGGCTGACATGGCCAGACCTGCAGAAAAACTCAGCACAGCCCAATCCGCTGTTTTGATGGCTACAGGTAGATTCAATGAATATCATCCCCATTCCTTATAGAAAATAAATGATTTTGGTTTTGTTTTTTACATCAGTTTATTTAATGGTTTAGTGTTTGAGATACTTATATACATACACCCACAAAGTAATTAACATTGTGTCTAAAAAGTTATTAAATTATGGATGGAAGAGACAGAGAAAGAATAAGTATCTGTATGGGTTTTTGTTTTTCACATTTTTGCCATGAGTATTTTGTTTTTGTTTTTGTTTTTTTTGAGTTGGAGTCTCACTCTGTCGCCCAGACTGGAGTGCAATGGCCGCTCCCGGCCACCGCAGCCTCGACCTGCTGGGCTCCGGCAATCCTTCCACCTCAGCCTTCCAAGTAGCCGGAATTACATGCATGCGCTACCACGCCCGAGTGATTTTTTGATTTATTGTAGAGATGAGGTCTCGCTGCCCAGGCGGGTCTCAAACCCGCGGGCTCAGGCAATCCACTCACCTCAGCCTCCCAAAGGCGCGGGATTACAGGCTGAGCCACCGAACCTGGCTGAGCATATTTTTAAAAGTATAAAAAAATTATAGTTAATGTTTACTTGCCTTATGAAAATTCCCCTTTAGTGTAAGAATTGAGTACTTTTTATAACACTGAGTTATGGAAATGTGATTGATAACTCAGAGTGTAGCATCTCTTTGTCCTTCATCCTACATTGTTGTTGTTATAAACTTATTTATAATTATTTTACTTAATGCTAAATGTGGTTAAGTCATTATAGCAATAACTATGCTATTTTTAAAAGTTTTTTGTTTCAACAGGGCTTATTTGGTCAAGATACTCACTTGTAATTATTCCAAAGAATTGGAATCTGTTTGCTGTTAATTTCTTTGTGGGGACAGCAGGAGCTTCTCAGCTTTTTCGTATTTGGAGGTAAGCCTACCAAATATATATATTTTTTAATCTGCTTCTAAAGCTACCCAGATGGCAATCATTTTTTTTTAAGATTCACATATAATACTAAGACAAGAATGTGCCTAAAGCAGAAATTTAACATTTCTAGAAAAGTCTGAGAGTTTACAAATAAGTTGAAAGCAGTATGTGACCTAGTTCTTTGACCTTATTCTTCATTGTCTAGAGAGATAGCCCTTTCACATAGTCCCTCTGATTAAGATAATGTACAGTTAGCACTGACTTATTAATCATCAGATTATTAAATAGTTTATTTGATGATTAATAAGTTTATTATTTATTTAATAATTTCCTACATGGACTTTATCACTCCTTTTCAATTGGATATGAAGTGGCTCTTAAATGTATAGTTATGCAATATTAGAAGTGATATTTAGGGCAACCATTTTGGTTCCCCTCCCACCGTGGGAGCTTTTCTGTCCTCGTTAAATCCTGCATTCTCACAAAAATAAAAATAAAGGAAGTGATATTTAGAGTGAGGTCATTGATTTCATTGGAAAGTATCCATGAGCACTGCAAATTTTTTAAACTACTCAATATTATTTGTCAGTGACTAATGATCAATATTTGAAATCAGGATGTTTTGAGAAATCCAGAAGGTATAATTGGATTCATGGAGTAAGTTCCTTCTTTTACTTATGCTATTCTCTGTTCTGCTGTAAGCTGGGAAGAATAGTAGAGAAAGCTCAGGGTGTTTTAGAAGGAAAGGCTCTGTGGTTACTTCTTTGGATTGAGAATTAAGGAATGGTCCTTAGTGTCTATAAACTTAAGTGTTTATAACTGGTTAACCCAGTAGCCTGCCTGCATCACAGAAGTATAGTTTACTTTTAGTGATTAGACTAAAAGCAACCCATTCCCTATTGATTTTTTTCTTAGGAAAGGTGCTTTGTGAGTATAAAGTGAAAAATTCTAGATGACCACATTTTGCTAAATTGTATACATATGTTCACATTTGTGACATTCTTATATAGTTAAGAATGAAAATATTTATTAAGATAATACTTTTGCACAGAAAACTCTGTCAGTTAAGCTGTTAAAAAATTTTGGCAGTTGGGATCTTACTATCTGAAACCAGATACAGATGAACTCACTGGGTTACTTTCCCTTCTGCCTGTCGCTACCTGTAAGCCTCCAAGAAGATTATATTTACAACTATCTGTCTAGCCACTTGACAGCCGGCCAGGAAACAAGAAATGGAGTATGCTTCCCATACTCTCTTAACCATAAATGTGTATATGATTATTGATGGTTATTTTTCTTTCTGTTTTCTTTATAGATATAACCAAGAACTAAAGGCTAAAGCAAACAAATAAAAGAGTTCCTGATCACCTGAACAATCTAGATGTGGACATAACCAGTGGGACCTAGTTTATTATTTGATGATTAATAAGTCAGTGCTAACTGTGCTAACATTTGGAAGGCCCAAAAATATCTTAACTGTAACTGGTAGCTAGTGCTTGATTCAATAGAAAAATAAAGGAAACTTTTAATACAGTCTCTTATTACATGTGACTTAAGGAACTTATCCGTGGATATTAGTAACATTTTTCCAACCATTTGTCCATAATAAATCATACTTGCTCATATATGCCCCAGCCTTCTTCTGTTCTAGTCAGCCCACATGTGTACATAAAAGCACACACAACTTCAAGCTAGTTGAAAGATTAACTTTTCTGGTTATTTAGTGTAGGATGGTCAACTGGCTGTAAGTAAAAGGAAATATTGCTGAAGTGGGTGAGAAATGGAGATGACTACCAAGATGACCTTAAACTATTTTAAATGTTTTAACTTGCCGTGAAGAATCTTGATGATTTTTTTGGCATATTCTGTGAAATTCTTTTACAGCTACAGAGTTTTAAATAGAATCTTTGTAAAGATTAATTGAGATAATGTTTCAACACAGTGCCTGGTCCATGATGAGTTTTAAATTTTTAAATTACACTCAGTAACTGATGTATAATGTAGCAGAAAAGGCTCTAGACTCAGACCTGAACTTGAATCTCAGCTCTATCACGTATATGCTGTGACATGTTAGGAAAGTACCTAGCAGTGTACCTGGGACATAGTAGGTTTTCTGTAAACGTTTGTAATCTTTGTCCCCATTGTGAGGATATACCGGGCATGGGTTATTCCACACTAGAAATTATCAACAGTCTGTTTGATCTGTGCTTTTTTCTAAAAGTGCTAGTAAAGCCAGTCCTCATTAGAACTATAGTCTGATGAATCAACAAAGCAAGTTATTTCAAAATTTGAAGAAATAAAAGATGAACTTTTTGAATAATACTATAAGTGATGAAAATGTGTCAGTTAGCAATTGAGAATCTTTCTCTTTATCATTTGTTCCTTAACAGTAGTCTATCTTTGAGGAGAAGGGATTAGAGAATTTGACATTGGCAAAAGGGAGGAGGTTCTGAAGAGTCATGACTATTGCTTTCTTTTCATAAGCCAAAGCGCTAAATTCATCTGTTGCCATGTGTGTGCACATATGTATGTGTTTCCTAGGTTTAGCATTTAGGAAAAAACATATATTATGAAATATGACGTAGACACAAAAAGATTCATTAAAATGTATTTGTGGAATTGGTGTTTCACTTCCTTTCCTTTAAAACCTGCTCTTTTCTGCAGGTGTGGGGTCTCCTAAGCCCCACTTGTCAGTCAAATTCATTGTAGCATTTCGATGCAATCACAAGCAATCCTTCTTTCTTGGTTCTCAGAAGTTTCCTTGACAAAAACCACCATCACATGCTTTCTTTCTGACCCAAAACTCTCAATTCATTCTATGTAACATGTGATGGTGGTTTTTGTCAGACCAACCTGGGCAACATGGTGAGACCTCGTCTCTACAATAAAATAAAAAAAATTAGCTTGGCTAGGTAGTGCACACCATAGTTCTGGCTACTTGAAAGGCTGAGGTGGAAGGATCACCAGAGCCCAGCAGATCAACGCTGGGGTGACCATGAGCATGCCATTACACTCCAGCTTGGGCAATAGAATGAGACTCCAACTCAAAAAAAAAAAATTAAACAACTCTAATATGTATCCTGTCAAAAACTCATTGCCAGCTGAGCTTGGTGGCTCAGCCTGTAATCCCAGCACTTTGGGAGGCCGAGGAGAGTGGATTGCCTGAGCCTGCGGGTTCGAGACCAGGCAACATGGCGAGACCTCATTTCCACAATAAATCAAAAATTAGCTGGGCACGGTAGTGTGTGCCTGTAGCTCCAGCTACTTAGAAGGCTGAGGCAGAAGGATGGCTGGGGTCCAGCAAGTCTGTGCTGGGGTGGCCGTGAGTGTGCCCCACTGCACTCCAGCCTGGGTGACAGAGTGAGACTCTAACTCAAAAAATAAAAAAGCTCATTGCCACTTGGAACACATAGTCTGGTGGTCAGTTTCACAACTACTCAAAAACTTAGTAAGAATTTCTACATTAGAAATCCTTATTTTCAATGTAGATTCTGAACTTCATAAAAATACATCCACAATGGTGAAAAGTCACTTGGTTTAGTTAAACTGAATTCTATGTCATAAGTTTCTAACAGGTCTTTACTGATGGCTTTATTAGGTAAGTTTTCTCAATTCGTGTTTGACAAGCCTGGGTTTCAACTCTCTGCCACATATTAACTGAGAACTTTGTCTCTGAGCTTTAGTATTTTCAAGAGTAAAATGGGATAATCACAGTACTTATTGAGATAATCACAATTGCCTGATCCACAATGAGTGTTAAATGTAGAAAATTCAGAAAATAGTAAGCCTACTAATTGAAGGTAGACCCAGAAAGTACTTTCTTAGACTAAGGAAGTTTCGATTTTCCTGCATAAAAGATACAAATATACCTATTTGCACACCTGAGATGACCACTGGAACTCTTCAGACTTTCATTTATGGCAAAAAAAACAAGTTACTTGGAGGGGAGAGATGGAGAGGTGGGATGGAGAATGCTCAGTGATTCTTTAACCTCATCTTTTTTGTGGTTTGGCATTCATTTCAGTGAAACATTGATCCAAGGTACATCAGTGCTGCTACTCCCCCATAGTAAACACATTTTCTTTTTTAAATTGTTAAAATGGTAGTGAAAGGTTGAATGTTAACAAGGATTGACCTCAAAGCTTAGGTTCCTCTCCATAAAGCAAAAGTCTCTACTAGAGCCTGAAACAAATAGAAAGCACTGACATTAAGACTGGAGCTCAGCCGGGCTTGGTGGCTCAGCCTGTAATCCCGCGCCTTTGGGAGACTGAGATGAGTGGGTTTGCCTGAGCCCGTGGGTTCGAGACCCGCCTGGGCAGGCGAGACCTCATCTCTACAATA